TTTGTTATACAGAACAACACAGTCCTTTTTTCTAGCTCAAAGTAATTGGAAACTTCTCAGTGGGAGGGAAATGAAAAAGCAAGTTGTTTCCAAGCACCATGAGTTACTCTGTATTGCACCCCCCCCCTTGTTACAATGTGAGCAGATGTGCTGCTTGTGTGGTAGAAAACATCATTGACTTAACAGTGCTCTTCTCACAAGTCTACTCTGACAGAAGTCCCACAGAATTCATCCGAGCTTTCTATCAGGTGAACATATGTATGCGGTTGCAGACTAAGCAAAAGTGGGAAGCTGCTTCTTTGCCAAGTCATTCTGGATGACATTCACTGAGCTAAGCCTAAGCCTGGGAGTATAGGCATGCCTGTTATTTTTTTAAGTTCTACTCATGTATGCATTTGTGGCAGGCCCTTTCTGCTTGACTGACTTTCATAGTTATCTAATGTTAAGTTGCTACAGTATGCAAATATAACAAGATTCTTATTACAAGATCCACAAGCTACTTAAGTGTGGACTGCTGGGAACAGCCGCGTAGGCAGTACATAATATGCAGACAGTTCTGTGCCTGTTGCAAAAATGCAAATCTTCACTACCACGTGTTGCCTGCCTGCCTGCCTGCCTGCCTGCCTGCCTGCCTTCATTCATTGTATTTATATGCTGTCCCACAGCCCAATCGGCTCTCTGGGCAGCTTACTATAAAACAGCAAGGAACAATAAAACAACAATTAAAAATCAAAAATCCAATTAAAACAATACAAAATGTAACAGTCAGCAAAGAAATCCCAACAAGGCATACAGCAGTAGAAATTAAAACAGTATTAAGTCCAATAGTTCTAAAACATCAGAGTGTATAAAAACATTCTGACCTAGCACTGAAAAGCTAGCAGTGATGGCACCAGGTGTATTTCCTTGGGGATGAAGGAAGTACTTCTGTGTTCCCTAAATGAGGTGCAAACACAAAGGAGGCCCTCCTCCTAGCCATTTCTTCCCTTACTTAATTGGGGGAAGGTTCATGGAGAAGGATCCCTGTCAAAGATCTTAGAGATTGGGAAAGGATATATGGAGAAAGGCGTTTCCGTACATATTCTGGCTCCAAGCTGTTTAGGGCTTTGTATTTGGTCCTGAACTACAACAGGCAGCCAGTGCAGCCAAGGGAAGACTGGAAGACTATGCGCAGAATAATGTGCTGATCTGTGATAGCTGCTAGAGAGCGTGGCTCAACAAAGTCGGAATTCTGTTGATTATCAGAGTAAGCTGCACTAGTGATAAAAGGATTTTTAAATGTGTCATGATTATTGCAAAAAAAAAAAAAAAAGATTAGGTAACCATTAATGAAAGGCTTATGTTTACTGTTAACATGTTTACTGTACTTCCTTATAAAAAAATGCATGTATATTTTCATTTTGTAGATCAATGTTCACTAGTGGCCTTACTGAAAGTACCCAGAAAGAAGTTCGAATTGTTGGTGTTGAAGCAGAGTCGATGCATTTAGTACTGAACTATGCATATACCTCCAGAGTAACACTGACAGAGGCCAATGTCCAAGCTTTGTTCACTGCAGCTAGTATCTTCCAGATTCCTTCTATCCAGGACCAGTGTGCTAAATACATGATCAGTCATTTGGACCCTCAGAACTCAATTGGAGTGTTTATCTTTGCTGATCACTACGGGCATCAGGAATTGAAAGTCACATCACAAGATTACATTCGTAAAAAGTTCTTGAGTGTCACCAAAGAGCAAGAATTTCTCCAGCTGAGGAAAGATCAACTTGTAAGCATACTGGACAGCAATGATTTAAATGTAGACAAGGAAGAACATGTCTACGAAAGCATTATAAGATGGTTTGAACATGAGCCCAACAAAAGAGAAGTCCACTTGCCAGAAATTTTTGCCAAATGCATCCGCATGCCCCTGCTGGATGAAGCATTTATAGAGAAAATTCCTCCCATGTTTGCACAGGCTATAGCCCAAAACTGTGTACAGAAAGGACAAACTAGTGCCAATGGCTATACCCAACGACTTGGAATGACTGCTTCAGAAATGATCATCTGCTTTGATGCTGCCCATAGACACTCAGGAAAGAAGCAAACAGTGCCTTGTTTCGATTCTGTCACAGGGAGAGTGTTCAGACTATGCCAGCCACCCAATGATTTGCGAGAAGTGGGGATTCTGGTGTCACCTGACAATGACATTTATATTGCTGGAGGATATAGACCGAGCAGCAGTGAGGTCTCGATAGACCACAGAGCAGAAAGTGACTTTTGGATGTATGATCATTCAGGCAATAGATGGATTCCTAAGGCTCCACTACTTCGGGCCAGGATAGGCTGCAAATTGGTTCATTGCTGTGGTAAACTGTATGCAATAGGTGGTCGAGTTTATGAAGGAGATGGGCGCAACTCACTAAAATCTGTGGAGTGTTATGACGGCCGAGAGAACTGCTGGACAGCTGTTTGTCCCATGCCTGTAGCAATGGAATTTCATAATGCTGTGGAGTATAAAGAGAATATCTATGTTTTACAGGGTAAGATGCTTTCTGCGTAGAGGAGTATCTGCAGTTGGAATCTTTGATGAAAAGAGTGGTCTCATTTAGGCCTTTATCTCTGTGAGTGACATCACTGGGCATTATGCCTTGTATGGGAGAGGGTTCTGCTCAACCTCAGCTACAGGCAACTTGAAGTTAAATCACTCCTTATGTGTGTTGCCTATTTTAAGGCATGGTGATACAGTGGTATCCCAGCTCACGAACGCCTTGGTTCACGAACAAATCGGGTCACGAACAAAAATTTCATTAAAATTTTGACTTGGGTCATGAACTCTGCATTGGGTGGCGACCAAGATCACAGCCATCTCCCCCCCTCCCCCCCAAGTGGGGTGATGACCACGATTGCAGTTGTTTTCCTGCAGGGAAGGTGTGCGTGATCACAGGTGCAATCCTGCAGGAAAGACGGGCACAATCTCGGCCGTTTCCCCATGGCTGAGCTGTACTGCGCCTGTCTTTCCTGTAGCAGTGCGCCCGTGATCACGCACATCTTCCCTGCATGAATGGAGCTGTGATCATGGCCATCTCCCCACTTGGGGGGTGGGGGGGGGGGGGCCATCTCGGCCATCCCCCCCCCCCAACCAGCATGATCGCGGCCATCTTCCCATCCCCCTGAGCAGAGCATTAATCTCCTAGCACCACCTCCTAGCCCATCAAAATAGTGCCTCTAACTCCCAACCCAGCCACCCTGTCCAGAAGGATATTGAAAGTCACTGAAGGGTACAGGAGAACCAACAGGGTCTCCTGTTGGCACTCCCCCTAGGTAATTATCACTCTGTGGAGAAGAAAAGTGATGTATCTGTAGATGATTTGAGATCATAGCTCGTATGATGTCGGTAAGCTCCTGAACAACACTGAGTGAGCTACAGCTCAGTGGTAGAGCACCATGGACTCCAAACAGAAGATCCCTGGCATTTCCAGGAAAAAGTATTGTGGGCGGCTGGGCTGGCAAGGTTCTGTTTCTGATAAAGTAGAGTAGCCATTACTGGGTACATGGGCCAGTAATGTTTTAAGGATGTTTTATATGCTTATACCCTTCTGGATCTTTAAGGCATTTTATAGAGCCCTTGCTTCTGAAGAGGATTCTCCCTATTGTTACCACTCTGCAAAATTGAACCTTGTTTCCACAAGCTAAGAAAATACTTGAGCTCCTAGTGTTTCCACACAACAGAACAGAACAACCTGCCACCTCCTGTAATCAGAACAGACATACAAGTTTGTTTCTGCACAGTGGAAAAGTCAGTTCTGTTGTGAAGACTGCATTCCTCCAGTATAGCCTTCCAGGGCCACATGCCAGTGGTGGGTGGATCCCAAAGCTAAAATTGGATGAGGCCAGAGACATGCATCCATACACAGGCTCTTCACACACATCCATCTAGGCTAGAGAAAGTGAGATGGTTTGCATGGCACAGCCAGTTCATGTTGGATGTGTGTGACTGTCATTTTAAATACGCATTCTTGATGGAACATTGCACTGTTGCGTGAACCCCAGCCATCATGGGTTTGAGGGTGAAACAACCTTTATTTAACCCTAGTAACACTTGGGTTATGTGAGGATTATTTAATGCTCACAGAATTCTTGATGGTCAGATTTGCACCAAAAAAAAATATATATACTGAAAATGGTGGCTGCTGATGCTGCTGTATATCATAAGAATTTAATCCATGAGGACTTGGCTGTGTTGAGTGAATGAGGTAATGATTCCGTTAAGAGAGTAACTTTAAGCTAACGTGCTTATATCTAGATTATTCAATGCTAAGTTGGTTATTATTTAAGGTAAACCTAATGTGCACAACTCTTTTAAAAACAATGATTTTGAATCTAGTAGTGGAAGCTGTTCTTTGAGTGTCGGTAGTGGGTGCAGTGGGCCTGATCCAGATTGGCACTACAGTGCCGGGTGAAGTGCTAAAACGCTATTCCCTCATACTGTCTCAGTGGGAGGCCCCACATTTGCTATTTACTGTGAAAAACTAGTGAGTAATGCTATCTAAATTTACTGGCATTATGTCTCATTTGGCTCGTAGGACAGATAACATTTGTGATGTGTGTGCAATACATCTAAAATAGGGGTGGGATGAATCTTACTGGAATCTGTCTCTCCAAGCATTTTCGAGTTTCCTTTTGTGCTCAGCCTGGTCTTCTAAAGCAAGCCAAGCTCAGAGGAAGTCCACAAATGCTTGTGATTGTGCGGTTGTCAGCCTTCTTCAGCGGTGGCGCTTGACACAGTCTTGCAGGGCTCCTTTCCATGCGATCACTTAGGGCGTCCAGCGCAACCATCCAACCAGTGACTGCACATGAGGAGTGCGAGAGGGGTGCTGTTTGCATAGTGTGTGGGGCTTGATTCCTGGTGAGTGCCCCACGAACTGCAAAGGGGCCGTGCGTCCAGGGAGCTGAGCACAGGGAATCGGACAGGTTGCCGCCTCTGAATGGATTTCTCACACTTCCCTAATCTAAACCTGTATATATTTGGAATGGCTTGAGTTTTTTTTAAATAATAGTTGTCATTTATATGAAGGCTTATTGGCTAAAGAGCCAATTTAAAACAATAAACCCTTAGCAAAATAAATAACAAGAACAATAAAATAACAATTAAAACACTAAATCAAAAGATGTTCTTGCTTGGGGGACATAAGCCAGTTAACATAGAGTTGTTTATGCTTACAACTTCTGAATTTAATTACTGTTTCTCAGCTGTTGATGTCAATAGCATGTTTTCTAGCTCAAAGCTTGCAGCTGTATTTCTGCATTGCTCTTAGCTGATTGCTGTGCTTAACAAGAGAAAATACCTCTTGATCTTCACTTGCTATTATAGCAGCTGTAAACTACCTCCAGCAGTAGTTCTAAGCAGGAATATAACAGTCTCAGCTCTGTACAGACAGAATCAACTAAATGGTTGATTCACACTTAAGAGCATTATTTTCCCTTTATTTACAGGGCTATAGTCTCTAATATTACAATTTCCTACTTGATATTTGTGCACAAGAACATTTTTTTTATCATGAGTTCCTGTTCTAAGAGTCCTGTTCTAAGGTGGTGCAAAATTGTTTTCTTTTCCATATTCCTTTACTTGTTCCAAAGGTTTATAACAAGCATGTAGTTTGGGATAGAAATAAGTAATAAGATTCCAAAATATGGTTGTATCTAATGTTGATCCTACTTGGAGATTAACATCACATGCAGCACATAGCATCCAAAGTGACAACCGACTGTAATGAAAATAACAATCCAGTTTACAGTTCTGTAGAACTGTAGTTCTATGGCTGTATGTGGTCTTCCATGTTCCCACTAAACTTCATTTTGCAATACAAGGTGGAGTGAGTTGTATGATGATGATGTAGGCAACTTGCAGCCCAAGAGACCCATGCTTGATATTCCTGGCACATAAGAAAAATGTTCTGATTGTCTTATCATAGAAATATATTGGGGGCAGCCAAAAGAATAGTGGATGTCATTAAATCAGCCTCTTAAAATGAAGAACCTTGAATTTGATTTTGAAAACCTGCAAATGGAACGAACATACAGAATTGCAGTTTTCCCTCTTTACTCTTGCCCTCTTTGTCACACCTGGGCCCAAATTAGTGAGCCTGAGTATGCTGGTGTAGGGCAAGCACATGGCACTGCTTGAATGGAACTGTCGTAGGGGGAGGGTATTAATTCTTGGCCCCAGAATTCTGTTCTATATTGGAATCCTGGGTCTGTGGACCAACTGTTCACAATAGGAGGGAAATTCTTATGGGTGTCATTGTACTCCTGTTGCAAGTAACTGGTGCAATGGCACCAGATTCTGATGGTGACAATAGTTGCTATAATTTCTTATTTGCTGTTGCTACATACTAGTTTCATTTCATCCTGAATGAGATATGCATGCATTTCAATGAAGGGTATCCTTTTACAAACTCGCTAGGGATAATCACGTGAAAAACATTAATTACAACTTTGAAATGGCCAGGCAGTCCTAATACTCTGTTTGCAATTGACATCTATTCAATTGTACATGCAGTATCAGTCAATTCCAAAAATAATGATTTGAAACAAAGCTTTCTATGAAAAAAATACAACACCAGAAAATTTTCCACCCCACATAATTGCCATAAGCTCTGTCATAATTCTGATCTTCTCCCATTCCCACACACTACCAGAAATTTATATTTTAAAACATCTGGCATTTCAGTGCTAAGGTGGTAAAGTCACATCTAGTTTGCTTCTCAGTCAGCTTCACATCAGTGTTGAATGAACTTTGCTGATGCTAAGAAGTTAAAGGAGATAAGGATTCACAGCAGTAACATAACTTTCCAGAGGAGCTCTACCATTGGTAGGGAAAATGTAGCAGTTGTTATTTGTGCAACAGACTGAGGGGCTTTTGGTGAGAAGGTTCTGGCCAGACAATACACATGCTGCTGTGTTTCCCCTCTACAGATCTGTGAAAGAGTTAAACCTATGGTGGAAACCTGAAGAAAAACAGGCCCTGGATCAACACCTGCTAGTCCGGGAGCAATTTGCTCTCCCCAGGCATGTGGATAAATGGGTTATTTATGTTCCTCACTGGAACAGAATTTCCACTCATTTATTTCAAATGAGGTGGTAAATACTGATGATGCGAAGTAGATTTGGACAGAATAAAATGTGTTCTATGTTAATTTGAATGTGTATGGTATCTTTAGAAAGTGGTTTCTCCAGTAAATGTACTGGCCTTATCTAAACTGAAAATGTACTAATGTATACCAGTGTATTTTAGCACTGTTGGTTAGTTTAAACTGTTCTAAGAGGCACATGTTTGGTGACAGAAAACAATGGTTATGCCACGCTTAGATTACTTTAATGTGGGGTTCCTTCTGAAGATTGTTCAGATGCTTCAGTTGGTGCAAAATGTAGCAATCTGACTGCTAACAGGTATATGGCATCAAAACCAAACGATGCCTGTAGTATTTGCAAGTTATTTTCTGGCTTCAGTTTGGATATTGGTTTAAAACTCTAAAGCCTTAAGCAGACTAGCTAAGGGACTGTTTTTCTCATTCTGAGACTGTCAGGTTTTTAAGGTATGCAAGAGGCCCTTCTAAGGGAATAGTACATACAAGGTTTTTTTTGTTGTGCTGTGCTTAAACTTTGGTATGCACTTCCTCAAGTGCATGACTCCCTCTCACCTGGCTTTTGGTAAGAGTGTGGAGTCATCTCTTTAATTTAGAAATTAAGGCTTTTAAATTATCCTTTTAATTGCCTTATGAATGGCTTTGAATTGTTACCTGCCTCAAAGGCATATTAGTGAAACAGGTGGTATAGAAATATTAAAAATAATGTGTGGTACATTTGGTGATAAGGTATACAAACTGCTGTCAAACCTATTAAAGTGCATAATGTTTGTTTATGATGTGGTGACAAAAATGCACACCACTCATATTTTCTGAAAACATCTATACCTTTTGAATGTACCTGACAGCTGCTTTCAGTAACCAGTAGTGTTCACTGAATGCAGTGGATTTTAAGAAAACTGTTTAGGATTGCCTTCTAGTTTTCTGCAAATCATCTCTTAAATTGGAGAAAATGAACATGTGCCCACATGTCCCAATAAACAAGAAAAACTCTGTATTTATTCTATTTTAGCAACTCATATCAAATTCCTTTCAAGTTTCTTCATAGTCCAAAGATTATGAATGTTTTATCACCACATTAAGATTCAGGAAAGAATCCCCACTGTGGCCTTCCTTGGGACGCTTACACTTTGCTTAAGAGAGTGAATTGTTCAGTATGAAATGGTGGTAGTGCTGGCTACTTCTGTTACTACTGGCACTAACAGTAGCTAATTCACATAACAGGTTTTAGAGCTCTGTCTTCTGGTGGGTTAAGTATTTAATCTAACCAATCCAGGCTTCCACCAGGTTTTGTTTTAAGATCTGATTTTGCTGGTGGCAGGGTAAATTTGGAGTGGATGGTGCTGGAAGACCATGGTGATTGCTTCAGTCACTGACTAGGTTTGCATGATACGGCAACCCATTGTGGGTTTCTACCCCGCTATTTTCACTGTCTCCCCATTACAGTCACATGCTGTTTTATGCTTGCTGTGGCTTTCTTCCTTTAGACCATTTTTTCTTGGGAAACATAAAAGCTGATTCTCAAGCCAACTTTTGGGACCCCATTTTGACAGCTGTGGACAGTCCCTTCAAACTGCCCCAGCAGTACCTTAGAGGGGTTAACCATGGTTGCCAAAAATCCATCCATCCATCCATCCATCTATCCATCCATGGTTTCATATAACTTTTGCAAATATTTGCTGGGAATTTTGTTCTTTACCAGCATTTGAGCAACTACAGGAATGAGGAATCTTGGCTGTACAAAGTCTAGTGGGTATATATCCTGCCCCTTAGAAGCCATGGGTAAGCTTATATTAACAAAAGGTTGTTGCTGTTGTTTTTGCAGGAAATAATTAAAAATAATTTGCCCATAGTGAGTGCCATTTTGGAGCTTTAACTTTGACAGCTGTGAAAGTTCAATATTGTCCTAAATGAGATGGGTAACGCTTTTGTTCTGAAAATGGTAGAACCTTAGGAACAAGCACAAAAGTGAAGGGCATCCTTGGGACACACAGGTTACCCTGTTCACCATTCCTTTCTTTGTGAGCTAAGTTCATGCCTTTTGACAACTGTGAGTTGTTACAGAACAGCAAAATAATTCAACCTGCAGCTTCTGTGGGGCAGTGTCTAGAGTGGGTGCACACTGGACTATGCCAGCAGATACCCCACTGCACACTGTCCACTCAAGCTCCCCCACCCATTCCTGCGCCTGTGCAACTATGGAAGTTCACAGTTGTACCAATGTGGGCAAAAATAGGCTGCAGCAAGCATATAATGGTTAGCGATCAGGTGTGGAGAGAAGACAGCTTGGGCCTCCTGCAGGATCCCTTGAAATTGCTGTGGGGAAGAGTGGGGAGGGAGGCCACATTCCACAGTCAGGTGATACGTTGGGCAAATTGTAGGTTCTTCACGTGATAACCACCCACTGGCTTATTCTCAGTGTAGGTTGATGAGGTGTGCAAATGTGCCTATTTTTTGTCTGTGGGAAGTCACCAGAAGTAGAGGAGGCCTCCCCACAAAACTTCTTGCATTAAGTAACCCTGAGGTAGACCTTGTAATTATGAAGAGCAATACTGATGATATTTCTGTACTTATAAAGACAGTGTATGTATAGATCCATTTTTCACAGTTATAGTGAAAATAATCATCTCATTTAATGCAGAAGCATTTTATTTGGGAAACTCTTTTCTGTATAGTGCACGAGGTTCTGATAACTTGTCAGTGCTTACTCATATAAAAGCCCCTGACATGATTCAGTGGCATATTGGTATAGTTATAAATATTGCCGTGTTAGGCAATATGTACTTCAGGATGTAACTTAAAACCTGCAGCTACTGTGCATGACACGTGCTTGTTCTCTGGGCTATGCTATAGTAAGAGTTCTGAAGAGTCTCATACAGCACTGTATTATTGTGCTGAAATATCCTTAGGAAAAATAGAAGGCCAAATCTATTCTTACGGTATGTGACAAGTAAAGTCTTATGGAAAACTCTTAAATTCTAATATGTTTTTTTCTTCCCTTCAACTTTAGGAGAATTTTTCCTCTGCTATGATCCTCGAAAAGATTATTGGGGTTTTTTAACTCCCATGACTGTGCCTAGGATCCAGGGTCTGGCAGCTGTCCACAACAACTCCATTTACTATATTGCTGGAACCTGTGAAAACCATCAGCATACGTTTACCGTAGAGGCCTATGACATTGAGTTGAATAAGTGGACTCGAAAGAAAGACTTCCCATGTGACCAGTCTATTAATCCATATATTAAACTTGTTGTCCTGAAAAGTAAACTCCATTTGTTTGTTCGAGCTACTCAAGTCACTGTTGAAGAGCATGTCTTCAGAACCAGCAGAAAGAATTCTCTTTATCAGTATGATGAAGTTACTGATCAGTGGCAGAAGGTATATGAGACCCCAGATAAACTCTGGGATCTTGGACGTCATTTTGAATGTGCTGTTGCTAAATTGTATCCACAGTGTCTTCAGAAAGTTATTTGACTTTTCTGTCTTCTCCTTTCATTGGTAAAAGGCCTTAGTGACTTTGGTATTTAATGATAGCAGAAAAATCTGTTTTTAAAGAAAAAACAGTTCAATTTTGTCAGTATTTAATATGAGCTGAAATGGATGGCTTTTTTACATGAAGATGGGTGCTCTTTAAAGGTTGCAGTGGGGAGGAGGGGATTAGTAGTTTAGTTTCCTAATGGATGTTTTCTTGCAGAGTAAGGAGTGGGTTACAAAGTGCAATTATCAGCATTTTCTCTACTAGAATTATTTGATCATGTTGTTCTAGAGTGACAGTTTGACTTAAAAACAAGAATAGATGGATTGGGGTGACTGCACTATAGCGAGAGCAAATCTAATAAGAATAGCTAAGGTGAAGAGAGCAAGTTTGAAATTACTTATTTAAAATACGGGTAAAATTTGAGGCAATATCACTAGTTTGCTATTTTAGATTCAGTGACACCAAGTAGACAAATACCTGGTTCTTACCTCTTCCATGTGTCCTGAAATACTGTATGCTTATACTTTGTGGTGGCTTATACAGAAATAGATACACCTTCAGCTGAACATGAGCTCCTTTATGAAAAAGAGATGGCCCATAGCAGGTGGCTGCAATGCTTCTCTTCTGTGAGTTTCATTTTGGTGCGTGCGTGCATGTGTGTGTGCGCGCGCGCAAGGGGGTGGGAGTGGGGGGTCGGGTTGTCTTAATCTTCCAGTGGTATCACGAGAGCCATCTTCTGCCAATTAAATGTAGAGCTTCAAAAGCAGTTGAGCGTGTTGGTCATTCCATAAAGGGCTTAAACCCTATGGTGCTAGTACATTTTTAATACTTGTAAGTCTGAAATGGGTCAAATGGGACTGTTTTAAAGCAGTCAATTAGTATTAATGTCTCTAGTCTTAAGCATGCCTCTTGCTGCTTTGTGTGTTAGCCCTATTTTATTTGGCCTTCTCTTGCAGAACTAGTTCTTCCATGGAATGGAGATAGGCTAAGTAGTCTGAATGGCTGTTGAGGGAGAGATCCGTCTCCTAGATTAAGCGCTGTATGCACTTTCTTTGGTCCATCCTCCAGTAATTCTGACAATGTAGCTTGGGACACTTCCATTCAGGCCAAATGGACTGAGTTAGGTTGCAATTCTGTGCCCAGTTAACTCGGAGTAAGCGTCATAGAACACAATGCTACTTCCACGTAAACATGCATAAGATTGCACAGTGATGTAGCTGGTGGTTGGGTGCATAATACTAGGCCATCTTACAGAACATGACATGCTAGCTTATCTTAAGTTCCTTCTGGTGTCATTTTGGCATGTGTTTGACTTGTAGCTGATGGATTCTCATAAAACAATATTGCCCTTAGTCATTCTAATGTAAAAGCGGTTCTGGCTGTTGCTAGCATGCTTGGACCCTTCTAGCTGTGGCTGAGTCTCTTGCCGTCCAATTCTCTCTGAAATAATGTGAAAGTTTGCACTATTGAGCTTTTTTGTGCCCCAAGGTAGCTACTTTTGGAAATTTACACATGAACCTTTGGAATGGAGTAAGAGTCTAGGTCCTTGTGACTTTGTGTCTCTAATTCTACATTTGAATTGACTAATTTTTCACATTGCTAAATAGATGGATCTAAAAAAAAAGTAATACAACATCTCGTAATTGGCAGTTCTTTGCCAGGGATGATAATTGTTCAAGAATGAACCATGCCCTGCTTTATCTTAGTTTGGCTTCAGTTTTGCTTTAAAGGGTGACATGGCCATAATCCTAGGCTGGTTACCACTTTTGACTTGATAAATAATTTGGTCAAGCTGTGGTTAAAGAGATTGAATTTAGAACAGTGTTGGTTCAGTAAACATGGGGTTGTAATCCCTAGAAAAGTTTTATGTTAATATGGTTCCACTTGACTTTGTATTTTTTAATATGTGCACAATATATTGAATGCTCAACTGTGAAACTAAAAGGATAATAAAGCCTCCTTCTGTTACATACCTCATCTTCCAGAGATTCAGCAAGCCAGTTTTTTCTGTGGGCTTCCTAATTTGCCATGCTGGAGGTACAGTAGCCTGGATGCTGAGAGAAAAGGCCCATGAGGATTGGTAATGATGTGGCTAATTTCCCTTCGTTTTTAACAACATTCAAGTATCAGGCTAGTAAAGATGAGGCACGGGCTAGCTGCAGCTCGGTGTTTTCAATGCCAGAACCTCTTGCCTCAACAGCTCTCAATTTGGGGAGTGGCAATGATACAGTACCTGACCCTGTGACTGAGATATAAGTTAGTGCCACAGTTCATTGGACTGGCTGAGTGAAGTTTCCATTCAGTGCTACAAGGCTTTGTCGTACGCCCTTGCCCTTAAGAAGTAACAAGCAGGACGGGCCACGAAACACTAGCCAGGCACTGCGTGACGCACCCCGGGACTGATAGAGAACACTGTGCCCAGCCCACAGCCCATTGTGGTGAGTGACTAGTCTACTGCCCTAGATGTGAATTCTAGTACTTCTGCAAATGAAAGGTTAAGCATAGTTGCTGAGACTGAATTTTTAAATAAGTTCTGGTTTCTTGAGGATACTTTTCGCAAATATAATTTCTCAAATGTAATAGTTGCTTCCATGTATTTAACTTTTCTTACTGCTTAGCTGGCTTTATTTGCGCTGTTGTAAACCTCTGAGCTAGCTGCGAACTTACTGAAGCACCCTCCCTTAAGCATTAGTATTTTTTGTTGCTGCAAAAAGTTGGTATGTACCTTTCAAAAAGTTCAGTTGAAAATCTTTGCCAGACTTATTGCTGCTTTTTGACAATCCTCTGTATTTATTTAGTAGACATGTCAATCTGACTTGAAATTTCAGAAATTAGCTTAAGTTAGCAAATGACCCTGTCATGTGATGTATAGAAATACAATATGCTGTGGTTAATTCTGCAGTAGGTTTGTTTTTAATTTTTATCTGCACTAAATACAAAGTTTTTTTTTGTCTAACCATTCACACTGGGGGTGGGGGGTTGACTGTAGTATGCTTGAAAGCTAACTCATGATTTATTTGCCATGAGGTGGAATACATTCAGTCATATGCATGAATAATTACCGTATTTTT